GAAGGGCTAGTTTCTGCTATCTGGAAAACTTACTTATACCTCAGTTCTTCAGTGCAGACAGCCTTTCCTATTGAGTAAAAATAACGTAAAATGTAATGTGACTGTTCAGGATAAAAATCAACAAATTTACTCATTTGTTATTATCTAATGACTAATCTTGATAGCAGAGCTTAATTGCCATTTTGTCCAGTCTAGGCAAGACTAAAGCAAATACATCTCAGGTATTCAAAAATTTGGTAAAAGCCTGCTAATCCTGCATCCTCCTGTCCCACCCATTTTTATTTCTCTTCTCATGAAATATTTTAGATTTTACTTAGATTTCTTATTGTGAAATACAAGCATATTTATTTCCTATCTTTAATGGATTTAGGTAGTAACTGATTGCCATTCTAGCAGGACTTTGATTTAAAGAAAACTATTATGAGTTTGGAAAATTTTCCTGGATTAGTTGCTTTCATTTATCGTTACACATAATTTTTTAATCTTTACACATAATTTGTCCTGACTCTTTGTCTTTGTGCTCTTTTGTTAAGGCTGGAGTATAGAATTGAAAGGCATGCTCCTAAGCCCATCACAAACAATCTGGCTCTGACAGATTTGATGTGGACACTGGGGTCTCTGGCTTACATTGAAGCATTGGCGCTTCAGGCCAGTTAATTCCACAGCCCACTCCTTGGATTGTCACATGTTTGCTTGTGTGCCTTAATTTGTTCTGCATATTTTCAAGAGTCTTCCTGCCTAGCTCTCTAGAAATAGTTAATTCTACTTAACTTTCTAATTAGGATAGAGAGGCTTGTTCAAAGGAGAGTTATAACATTAATGGACAGATTCTGGAATTTTTGTTTGGATGATGATTTTGTTGGTTGGTTAGTTGTTTATTTCTGAGCCTGAATGAGCCTTTGGTATTTGGTACTCACTATGTTCACAGTATTTTTAAATTTATGAAGCAAATCCTAGATCTAGGAACATACTCAGATGTATGTTGAAAATAAACTTCATAACAAAATTGATTTAAGTTAATTTTCTAAAGATCCGTGAAAGACCAAAGTTAACTTCATATGAGATAATTTTCAGTGTGTTCTCTGAGAAGTAACGTTGAAGCTGTGATCCAGTTTACTGCACTTTTTTGTGTTTTTTAGGGCTTGTTTTGCATCCCAGTGTTAATATTTGTGTTATAAACAAAAATCTGAAAATGCAGCCTTAAGTGTCACTTGCCAGTTATTTCTATTTTGACTCCTGGCATTTTTTTCCTTTCCTATTTGGATACATCCAGTATCCTATTACACATTGAAAAAAGTGTTTCCTCAGGTTGAGTGTAAGTCACTTCTTCTCATTACATGCAGTCTTATCTCTATTATACAAGTTATTGAAGTATCTTAAGTTCATAGATGGACATTTAGAGAATACAGTCAGCTCTGACCTAGGAGATCATTTTCTTCCCGATTCTGATTTCATAAATCATTCAGCGTATTAGTAGTTTAACTTTGAATTTTCCTCATCTTGCTCTTCCTCCACCGTTATAGTTTTTCTAGACATGGTATTGTCCAAATAAATCTTTGTTAACTTTAAATATATAAAACCTGGGTATGATTTTAAAATTATAGAAAAGTTATCTTCTAGGTTTATTCACGTAGAGGGGTAGGTGTAAACACACACACATACACACTCTTACTTTTGCTTTTTCAAAGGCCTGTCATAATATGGCAGAGCTATAGCTCTGTGCCTCAGTCCTCAGGACCTCCTCACTACCCATACTGGTCCCTTTAGTATCCCTTTGACCTCTGCTCCTTCACATTGTTTAGAATGCTCTTCCCTTCTTTTCTCTGCCTGCCTCTGGCTTGCCCTTCAGTGCTTGTCTTCTAAAACATAACTTATAATTTATATAATTTTTTATGTAATTTTCTGCAGTAGCATTGTTAGGTTTTTCATTTTTCTCTCATAGCGCCTAGCATAGTGCAAAAGCCTTATAAAAGATCAGTTGTTCATAGTGTTGGAACCAGTATTTG